AGCTTTCATACGTCCTAATCCGAGTTTCCAAGTCTGTGTGGTTCACACATAATACTGCACAGCCTGGAGCAAGGGCCTGTGCCTCACATGCTTTTCAGAGACGTGTCATTTCTAACATCAAGCTAATCTATATGTTGCCATGGCGTCCCCCTTTATCTGCCTTTACATCTTATGAACTGCATGGATTTACCACATTATTTTTATCTGAAAGACAGAAAATGGTGGTGTTATTGCCATACAATCAGATTACTGCCACTAGTTTCTCGATGCCTTTTTACCATACTTCAATCAAAAGGGATCAGTTTCTTTATGCTCCGAGCTTGATTCACATTACATCTGTAAAGACCTAGTCTGGGTTGTAATCCCCTTATTAACTATGACCAGGGCTGATTTGCCTAAAAATAAAAGCAAATTGTGTCAGACCCTTTCACTTTGTTTTTGATTCGGAACTACAAAACAGATTACTAAAGAAATCTTCAGAGTTCACACGGCTGGTATAGTGCTGAATTTAAAATGAGAATTAAACAAGTTAAACAGCGGAGCCGTGTCAACGGTTTACATGCCCCATCACGGGAGAAGGGCCGAACTGCTTCTGCCTTTGTATTCCTTGGCTTTATGGACACAATGGAGCCACAGGAGTTTTTCCAAGCTGTTCGGAACATGTCCCATTTGCTATCCTTCCTTCTTTGTTGTTGTGATTCCTCCCCTGGCCCTTTCTCATTCCCCCCTTCAAAGGAGAGGGCAGGCTCCTCCCTGAAAGAGCTAATTCCTTACGGGAAGCTTATACTTCTATGGGTTCTGCATATTTTAATCAAAATATTTTAAGCAGCCGAACACTCCTCTTCAAGGCTCTCCCGGGCTGTACAAAGGGCGAGCTCGTAAGCAGTTTTATGTAGATGTATAATAAATAAGTGACCTGAAAAACAGGTTCTTTATGTCAGCTGCAAAGAAAGGCAGAGATTAGACAGGAGGGGCATTTTAATCATCTTTCCTAGAAGAGGGCTTCTCCGTGTCTCACTGCCGATTAACTATGCTCAGTTTTCACCAAACGTTAAAGAAGCACCTTGCCTAAAACACGTTTGGGGGCTTCTGTCTCCACCGCCTGCTCCCTGCCACTCCCATTCCTATGACGTGCGCGGCGGGCACACTGAGATCTCGAACAGTTTCCCATTAGGTGAAGGCACTCAAACGCTTCTCCTCCAAGTTAGGTTTCATACACGGGGTGCTTGTGGCAGCGACCAGTAATCCATAGAAGCCAAGAAAGCAAGGCTTTTAGCTGCTCCAAAGGCAAGGTCAGCCTGAAGGTGGCCGTGCCGACCACGGACCAGAGGATCTATTCCAGGACGATTAGCACGAACGTCCCAATTGTTTCGCAGCTTGGGCCACGCAGCAACTGTTTCAGCCTGCAGCTTTCAGGCAGCCTCTCATTCACCTGCCTCACACTTGTGCTCAGAGTCAGAAACACCAAGGAGGGTGGTAGGAACGATTTGCATTTCTTTACATCCTGGGACAAGTAGGCTTTGTGAAAGACCTAGAACCCAGTGCTTAATAAACCATCTTAACCTCCAGCTCCTGTTTCCGAGGGAGGGCAGTTAAGCGCTGCAGTCCTGAGACACACGATTCCCAAATAAATTGTCCTCTGCAAAGCAGGCTACCAGGCACGTTCCGAGCTGCCTGAGCTCTGGCTTTGTGCTCTGCCTGGCTCGGTCTTCCTGTGCAGCAAGACAGCCCATTACCTACAGTTTATCATCCTGACAAAACGTGAGGAATGTGGATGTGAAAGCACTAACAATCCCACCCCTGGTGCTTTGGGCTTTTTTTCTCTCTATATTAAAACCGACAAGATTAACCCAAAGGCAAGCTTCGGAGCAGAGTTCAAGGGGCTATTCAATCAGTGCTGAATGTGCATTTGTTTACCTACAAAAATAAGAATTTCAGACACAATGGCAGGCAGGCTGGCACATATATGTGATTGAATGGGCTGTTTAAACAGCACTATCCATTGTAGTTTATTTTATCAATCTGACAGGCCTGTATTTATTCAGCGCCTGACTGGGGTGAGACCCATGTATTCCAGGTTATCTGGATATTATCCAGCCATTCTTTTGTAGCAAGTCAATCAATATCAGGAATTCAGCATTATGCAGGGAGGAAAATTAAATGGGAAAAGCAAAGCACTTCATTGAGTAACTAGTGTGGGATGCAGAAGGAACAGCGACCCCAGACACAATAATGAATGTCGCCTGAAATTCACAACTAAGTCAGTGAATCCCTGTAGAATGCCATCCTGGTGTAGTTTTGCTCTCTTAAGTGAAATTACTTTAAAAGCATAGCTACCTATTATATTTTGGCAAAAACAGGCTTGGGGGAGAAAAAGTTCTACTGAAATGTTAGTAATGGCAGCTAGGCTTTGCTGTTTTCTCCTGGATTGAAATAAAAAATTGAAAAGAGTGCAATTACCTGCACAGAGCCTCCAAAAGCAAGGGAGAAAATCCACCGGACACCAAGAGTGTCTCCGGTTCGCACAGCTTCTCGGGAAACATTATGTAAACTCAGGGATGGAGCCGCAGACAATGGGATTGTGCTTATGGAGCTGCAGACTTTACCAAGGGTTTCTGGGCCCTGGACACAGACAGCTGTTGCCTGCCCCCCATGTCGACCACCTGCTAAAAAGGCTGACCTCCCAATGAAACAAATCTCATTACCGATGGTTGCTTCATTACAAATGAATTGTTCCACACTTCAGACAGAGTGTCGTGAAACTTCCGCGCATCTGATGGCCTCCTTGCCACATCGCATTTAAAGCCTGAAACCTTTCCCTGGAAATAAATATGCAACCGCCCAGGAGGCAGACCTCTGCCACAGCACTAGGTTTTATCCTTTCTCGATCTTTTAAAAAAAGAGAAAAAAGCCACAAAGGAAAAAAAAAAAAAATCTTCAAATCATTTCTCCAGGAAATCTTTCTTATCTCTCAAACTAGCGCTTGGTTGCACTTTCCCAAAGTGGACCTTTTCTAGAGACACGCTCTCCAATCCTCCGAGCAGGCCATTCGCAGAATTTTAGGAGAAATGTTCCTGCAGAGGCTCAACAGCCACACCAGCAGTGCAGGGAGAAAGGAGGCTTTCCCAAGAACAGGCCCTGGCTGGTCTCTAGATCTGTGGCAAGGCTAAGAAAACAGACTCTAAGCTTAGGCCCCCCGACGGCGGAAACAGGTCTCCTCCCTCCCAACACTTCAGCAGAGCAGAAGCTGCTTCCAAACCTGAGATGCAAATGCAGATTGTTCGACTTTATTTCCTAGGAGGTATTCCTAATCCTCTTCCCAGGTACACAGTGGCGAATGGTCAATCTTAACAAAGATGCATACACTGAGTACGATGCTGAAAGGGATTAATGGGAATTTCTTTCAACTAGATTTAAATGTAAATATGAAGTGTGTGTGGGGAGGGGTATCGGTTCCGGAGCAGCGCGGCCGGCGCTGGGAGGCGGCGGGGGAGGGGCGAGCGCCTTTCCGCGGCCCCCAGCGCCCTCTGTCGCCCACCGCGCGCAGTGGCCGGCGCCGCGCCCCGGCTCCATCCAGGCAGCCACCGCGCGCAGGTCTCGGCCCAGCCTGGCCCGAAGCCTCCCGGCGCCTAGGCTTCAGAATCGCGGCGAAGATGCCACTGGCAAACGCGACCCCTCACGTTCACGGGAAAATCCCACGCGAAACCGAGCCACACGGAAGGTGGATTCGGGAAGTAACTTTTGGGTGTACGCAGAGTCTGAAAGTGCCATGCGGGAGCCCAGGGTTACGTGTGACGTTTTTGCCCTTTCATCGGGAGACCGGGCGCACACATTGGTAAATCTGTAATTTACCACTCTTACAAGAGTACACGCAATCCTTTAACTGTGATGTGATTTCCAGGCCAAGCCCATATCCCTGTGCTCTTAAAATCCATGCTCCACCCGATCAACTTCAACTAGGCCACTGAATCTGCTTCGGGCATCAAAGCCTGGCTCCAGAAACAAGCCAGAGCGGCCCGGTGCGCGCCCCAAGTTTCCCGGGGCTAAAATTGCGATTCTGCTCATCATTCTGAGAGCGATGCACTGTGCAACTCTGGGCGCACGGGTCGCCGCGAGTGTGGCCGGCTGCATTCCGGACGGGTTGCATTTCCTCACCTCTGCCCGTGTGTCCTGCTGGCCCCAAACTGAAAGTTACACTCCATGGGCCTGGCTGGCTCCCAGCTCTGCCGTTTCCTAGGATCAAGTTGGATCCCAGGGCCCGTTCCTACCCAGGCCCCAGGGGCCGAAAGCTGCTGCGCCAGCGGCGACTCCGCAGGGCCGGAGCTCCTGTAGACAGTGTCCTTAAGTCGGAGCCAGAGGCCGGACCGTGCAGAGCTTGAGGCCACTGGTTTGTCCTCGAAGGGCGAGGCCGCGGCGCCGGGGCTCTCCCGCGTGGAACCCGCGGCCACCAAAGGATCGCATCGAGTCTCCCGCGTTCGAGCGAGCTCACCGAGCACCCAAGCGCCGGCGGAGCGCCGAGGACCTCGATCACGGGTTCCTCCGGCGGGCGCGCTCCGCCGCCGGGACCCAAATCCGCGCCACCCGCCCTGCAGCCCGCGGACCCGGACCCAGCCCGCGCCGCCCGCGCCCCTGCGAGCGCAGCGTCTCCGCAGGTCTCGAGGCCGTCGGGCGTCCGCCCTGTGTGCGCCCGTGTCCTGCGTCCTAGGAAAGCAGCGAGGCTCCGGCCGGGCCGCCAGACCTCTTCCCAGACGCGAACGAGCCGCCCGGCCGTTGGACACCCTGGAGCGCCGGGGCGGAGAGACGCGGAGGGCGCCGCTCCGGTCGGCGCGGGCTGTGAAGCCGCGTTTCCCCGGGGAAGGGTGGCGAGGTGCGGGTCGGGCCCCAGCTCCGGGCTTTGGAACCGCGCTCCGCGGGCCGAGCTCTCCTCCCGCCCGGACGGCGCGCGAGCGCGGCGCGGGGACCCGGGATGGGAATCGAGGGACCTCGCGAACGCCACTTACTTGGAGTTCGAGGAATTCCAATAGATAGGCTCTAAAACTATGGATCTGGAGATCGCAGTTCTGCACAAAACCATCAGCACGCCCCAGCAGTACTTCCACAGCAAGTCCCGGCGCGCGCCCATGGCGAGGCCGCTGCGGGCCGCGCGCTCCGGGGCGAAGGGGACGGGCCGGGCCGGGGCTCCGAGGCTCCCTCCGGGCGGGCAGGCAGG